CAGCGGAACAAAGGGAATAATAAATGCAGAGCAAAAAAAAAAATGAAATAGAAATAAAAAAGACAGTATAAAAAAGTCAATAAACATAAGCATTGGTTCTTTGAAAAGAGAAACAAAATACCTAGGCTTTAACTAGACTCTGCTTAGACTCACTAAGGAAAAAAAAAAAAAGAGGAAAAACTCTCACCAGTTCTATCAGAAATGAAAGAGGAGAAATTACAACAGATATCACAGAAACACAAAAGATTGTTAAAGAGCACTACAGACATCAGTATGTAAAAAACTGGATAATCTAAAAGGAATGGAACAATTCCTAGAATAATAAAACCTTCCAAAACTGAATCAGGAGGAAATAGAAAACCCAAGCAAACCAATTACAAAGAAATTGAAACTGTAGTCAAGACTCCCTAATAACAAAAGCCCAGGACCAGATGGTTTTCTTTAGTGAGTGCATTGAAACCTTCAAAGATAAATACCTATTCTTTATAACCTCTTCCCAAAAACTGAAAGAGAGAATTCTTTTATAATAATTTAAATGAGGTTAAAATTCTCCTGATATCAAAAGCCAACAAGCCTCCACAAGCTATAGATCAATATCCCTAGTAACATAGGTGCAAAAATCCTCAACAAAACATTAGCTAACTGCATTTAACAACATATTAAAAGGATCACATACTATAACCAAAGAGGGAATTTAATCTAGGAATGCAAATATGATTTCATATCTACAAATCAATTAATTCACCACGACAATACCAGGAAAGCTAGATAGAGATCATATGATTACATTAATAGATGCAGAGAAAATATCTGACTAGGTCCAATATCCATTTATGATAAGAATGCTCAATAAAATTGAGATAGAAAGAATATAAGTGAACACAATTAAGACCATACAATAAAAACTCACAGCTAACATTATACTCAATAGTGAAAAACTGAAAATTTTTCCTTTAAGGTCTGGTACAAGACAAGATGACCCACTTTCACCACTATTATTCAACATAACATTGGAAATCTTAGGTAAGGCACTTAGGCAAGAGAAGAAAAATAAAAAATGAATTCAAATTAGAAAAGAAGATGTAACTTTACCAAAATTTGAAGATGGCATAATAATATACATAGAAAACCTAAAGGTCTCCAATTAAAAGTATCATATATAATAAATCTGTGCAGTACTGAAGCAGGCTATAAAATCAATATACAAATGTCTATTGTGTTCCTATATGCAAACAATGAACTAGAAATTTAAAGAAATTTTTTTAATTATTCCAATTCCAATTTAAAAATTACCCAGCAAATAACAAAGAAGGTAAAAGTCTAGTCAAGTAAAACTTTAAGATATTTTTAAAAGAAGACCTAAAGTTATAAAAAGATATTCCATAGTCATGGATTGGAACAAGTAGCACTGTTAATATGTCCATCTTATCCAAAGTCACATACTGATTAAGGTAATCTTTATCAAGAGTCCAATGATTTTCTGCCAGTAAAGTAAGGTAAACTTACTGAAAATTTGTGTGGAGCCATGAAAGACCCTGAATAGCTAAAGAAAAAAAAAAAGTGGAGGTATTATGCTCCCAGGCTTCAAATTATACTACAAAACAAAACAATAGTAAGCCAAACAGGATGATGTTAGAATAAAAATAGACATACAGATCAAGGGGATAGAATTGAGAGGCACAAAATAAATCGACAACACATGGACAGTTAATTTATAATGAAAGATCCAAGATCATATAATGGACAAAGGAAAGCAGTAATTTCAACAAATTGTACTGGGAAAATTGAACAACGAAAGGATAAAACCAGAACACTACCTCATACCATATACAAAAAATAATTCAAAATGAGTAAAATACATAGGTAAAATATTCTGTGGTTTGGCATAAGCAATGGTTTTGGGGACTCTACTACAACAGCCAGGGAAACAAAAGCAAAAATAAACAAGTGGGAACACATCAATGAAAAACAAAACTTCTGCAAAGCAAAGGAAACTAACATAAAAACAAAAAGATACACTATTGAATGGGAGAAAATATTTATCCAACAAGGGGCTGATATCTAAAATCTAAAAATCCAAAATCTATCAATCTCAACAACAACAAAATACCCAACCCAAAAATGGGCAGAAGAGTTAATATACATTTATCCAAAGATGACAGAAGGCATGCAGATGGCCAATAGGCACACACAAAAAAGTACTTATTATCACTTATCAGGAAATTTCAAATCAAAACAATGAGATGGCACCTCACATACATGAGAATGTCCCATATCAAAAAGAACAGAGAAAGGAAGTGTTGGAAGGCTTCCCTAGTGGCCTAGGAGTTAAGTCTCAGCTCTATCACCACTGTGGCCTGAGTGTGACCCCCAGCCAGGGCGCTAAACACACATATGCCACAGCAGGCCTCTCCTTTCTCTCCTACTGCTCCTGTTAACAGTGTATTTCAGTAAATCCATCTATTCTGTTCCCCACTCTGTCACTGGTATCCTCTCACCCCTGTACTTCTGGCCTACACCTCAGCTCTTCTTAAAAATAAATAAGCAAATAAATAAACAAGCAAATGAAAATAAATAAAATGCAAATCCTGGGACTGCTAAGCCAGTTGCTACTGGGGCATGTTAATATGCATTAAAAAAAAACAACAACACAAAAAACGCAGCGGGTTAAAGCACTGCACTAAAAAGCTAAATCCTCTTCTGCATGAGTTCGATTCCCGCCTGCCCCAGAGGTGACCACATGGCATGGCAGACCTCTCCTGACCCGCCCGCTGCTCCCCTCAGCAGTGTACTTCGTCCATCTGCCTGTTCTGCTCCCCACTCTGTCTCTGGTGAAGCTTCTCGCCGCCCCTGAGCCTCTGGCCTATACCCCAGTTCTGTATGCACAAATAAATAAATCTTTAAAAAAAAAAAAGTGTTGGAAGGAAGCCACAAACTATAGTCCTAGGTCTATGAAAATACTATAGAAATTTCTCAAATCGTTAAAAATAGATTAACAATTCAAAGAAATATATGTATTTTGGTTACTGCAGCACTATTTATACTAGTCAAGTCATGGAAACAACCTAAGTGTCCAAATATAGATGAGAGGAATTAAGGAGACACACACTAGAATACCACTCAGCTATAAAAAAAAAAAAAAATGAAAAATTGACATTTGTAACAACAGAGATTGAGCAGTAGAATAAGTCAGAAGGATATAGAAATATATCTCATATGAGGAATATTAAAAATAACAAAGACAAGGAACAAACAAAAACAAACTTTTTTTTTAATCTGACTGTCGGAGGAGGAGGGGGAGTAAGCAAATCAGGGAGAGGTGCCAATGGACTGTGGAGGAAGGTTAGTGGGGCTTCAGTCGTAGATGTGGTACAAGAACATACATCTGAAGAGGTGTGAACCTAGACCTCTAAAATGTGTAAGTGTCAAAACCATATTACCTCAATAAGCATAATAAAATAATAACAAATTGAAATAAAATAAATCAAATCATATTAATTTTTGAGATCAAGGAAGCTGTACATGGTGGTAAAGCATTCTTGTGTTTATGAAATTCTGCAGATTCTATCCAAATAGAAATATATGTGCAACTCTAGAGTAGTGTGTGTGTGTGTCTGTGCAACTGCATGCGCACATGTTTGTGTGTGTGTATTATACACACACATTGCATGTATACACTATGTGGTAAGACAATAGTATGTTAATTTCAAAAACAATGTTAAATACTATTACACAAGATTAAAATAGTAGTAAGATGAAGGAAGAGATGATATATAATTATAACAAAAAATTACCCACAATCAATGAAAAACAAAACTTCTGCAAAGCAAAGG